CTTCCCTTTTGGTTTTCTAACTCCGGGTCTTTGCCATGTCTTTATAATACTTCACTTTGTCTTCTCGAGCTGCCCTTTGAAATCTTCTGTTCAGCTCTTTTATTTCATCATTTCTCCCTTTCGCATTAGCTATTCAACGTTCAAGAGCAAGTTTCAGGGTCTCTTCTGACATCCATTTTGGTCTTTTCTTTCTTTCCTATGTTTTTAGTGACCTCTTGTTTTCCTCATGTATGATGTCCTTGATGTCATTCCACAGCTTGTCTGGTCTTCTGTCATTAACGTTCAAATTGTCAAATCGGTCCTTGAGATGGTCTCTAAATTCAGGTGGGGAACTAAGTAGCCCATTGAAAATGGAACCAGGTAGTCCCAGGGCAGTTTCCTTATACGAATATTCTTATGGGGTAAAAAAAAGAAACCAAACCATAGGGAGGGCATGTCTTAGTCATCTAGTGCTGGTGTACCAGAAATATCACAAGTGGATGGCTTTTTCTTTTTTTAATTTTTATTGTGCTTTAAGTAAATGTTTACAGTTCAAGTTAGTTTCTCATACACAAATTTACACACATTGTTGTGTGACCGTAGTTTCTCTCTCTATAGTGCGACAGCACACTCCTCCTTTCCACCCCAGATTTCCCATGTCCATTCAACCAGCTCCTATCCCTTTCTGCATCATCATCTTGCCTCTGGACAGGAGCTACCCATTTAGTCTCGTGTATCTACTTGAACTAAGAAGCACATGTTCAGGAGTATCATTTTATATGTTATAGTCTCGTCTAACCTTTGTCTGAAGAGTTGGCTTTGGGAATGGTTTCAGTTCTGGGTTAAAAGAGTCCAGGGGCCATGTCTTCTGAGATTCCTCCAGTCTCAGTCAGACCATTGAGTCTAGTCTTTTTACCAGAATTTGAGTTCTGCACCCCACTTTTCTCCTGCTTCATCAGGGACTCCCTATTGTGTTCCCTGTCAGGGCAGTCATTGATGGTAGCGGGGCACCATCTAGTTCTTCTGGCCTCAGGCTGATGGAGTCTCTGGTTTATATGGCCCTTTTGTCTTTTGGGCTAATATTTTCCTTGTGTCTTTGGTGTTCTTTGTTCTCCTTTGCTCCAGGTGAGTTGGGACCAATTGGTGCATCTTAGATGGCCACTCACTAGCTTTTAAGACCCGAGACGCCACTCACCAAAGTGGAATGCAGAACATTTTCTTAATAAACTTTGTTATGCCAATTGACCTAGATGGTCCCCAGATCCCCGCTCCTGCTACTCTGCTGTTCCTGGAAGTGTTTTGTTGTGTTCAGGAAACTTATCTTTTGGTTTAGTCCAGTGGTGCTGACTTTGTCTGTATTGTGTGTTGTCCTTCCCCTCACCTAAGATAATTCTTGTCTACTGTCTAGTTAGTGAATTCCTTTCTCCCTCCCTCCCCACACTCGTCACCATCAAAGAATGCTTCCTTCTGTGTTTAAACCTTTTCTTGAGTTCTTATAATAGTAGTCTCATACAATATTTGTCCTTTTGTGACTAATTTCACTCAGCATAATGCCTTACAGATTCATCCATGTTATGAAATGTCTTATGGATTCATCGTTGTTCTTTATTGTTGCATAGTATTTCATTGTGTGAATATACCATAATTTGTTTATCCATTCGTCCGTTGATGGATTCGTTCGTTGTTTCCATCTTTTTGCTATTGTGAACAGTGCTGCAATGAACATGGGTGTGCATATATCTATTCATGTAACGGCTCTTATTTCTCTAGGATATATTCCAAGGAGTAGGATTGCTGGATCCTATGGTACTTCTATTTGTAGCTGTTTAAGGAAACAACAAATTGATTTCCAAAGTGATTGTACCATTTTACATCCCCACCAGCAGTGTATAACTGTTCCAGTCTCTCCATAACCTCTCCAGCATTTATTATTTTGTGTTTTTTTGATTAACACTAGCCTTGTTGGGGTGAGATGGTATCTAATTGTAGTTTTGATTTGCATTTCTCTAATGGCTAATGATTGTGAGCATTTCCTCATGTATCTGTTAGCCGCCTGTGGATGGCTTTAAAAAAGAGAAATTTATTCTCTCACAGTCTAGTAGGCTAGAAGTCTGAATTCAGGATGCCAGCACCAGGGGAAGGCTTTCTTTCTCTGTTGGCTCTGGAGGAAGATCCTTGTTATCAATTTTCCCTGCTCCAGGAGCTTCTCAGTGCAGAGAACCCAGGTCCCAAGGACGTGCTATTCTCTTATCTCTTGTTTCTTGGTGGTATGAGGTCCCCCGTTTCTCTACTTCCTTCTCTCTTTTATATGTCAAAAAAGATTGGCTTAAATTGTAGATTAATCTTGTAGATTAAGTCTATATAACTGCTGCTAATCCCATCTCAGTAACATCATAGAGATAGGATTTACAACACATAGGAAAATCATATCAGATGACAAAATGGTAGACAATCACACAATATTGGGAATCATGACCTAGCCAAGTTGACAGATATTTTGGGGGGACACCATTCAATCCATGACAGGGCAATTACAGGAAAATCAATGAATATTGTAAAAATCACACTCTGGTTACTGATTATTAATAGTATAGTTAGTGATTACAGATAGTTTTACAGCATGCTTAGATCATCGTCACAAGATGCTTACATGCGTTTTCTTTCTCTATCTTGAAAAAATATCTTGTTGGCAACAGAACCCAGGCAGCACTCTTCCTGAGTACATGTATTTTGAGGGGTGCAGATGGTCACTTGGTTAAGACCCCTCGAGGTATATGGTTTCACCTCCTGGTTTTGAGCACTGAGGAAAAACACATTTTTCTCAAAACACATAGTTGTGTTGTAGGGGAAACACATAAAGTTTAGTAAAGCAAAAAGAGTTTTATTCGGCATATATTCCAAAGGACAAAGATAGGAAAACGGACAACCATGCTGTCAGAGCCATGTCTGCCCGAGTCCAGAAAATATCGCAGAACAGACAAATGTGGGAAATCGGCCATGAACGCTGCTAGAGCCATGTTACTTGAGTCCAAAGACTATTACAGAGCCGGCAGTCTATATTAACATTACAAATGGGTAAAACCATTGAAAGCTTCACCTTTTCACAGATTGGCTAGAAACTGTGATCCTACGTTTTGAATGATCTCTCTTAACAATCATTGGTACAGGTTTCAGTATTAACAGTCAAGAGGTCTTCATTGGTAAAATCACAATTTCTAGCCAGTCTGTGAAAAGGTGACACTTTCAAAGATTCTACTCGTTTTGTGATGTTGACATATACTGATGATTCTGTAACCTTCCTCGGATTCGGGCAGACGTTCTAGCTCTGGCAGCATGCTTGTCTGCTTCCCACTTTTGTTTTCAACTATATGCCGAACAAAACTTTCTTTTTCTTTACTAAACGTTAGGATGTTTTTTCCCCTACAACAGCCCAAAGGCTAAGGCTCCTGAGCGGCACCCCAAGATAAGACAGAGTTGTAGTGCAAAGCCCCTTAACTCCCTTTTCTTCGTGACTAACAGCTGATAAGCTCTAGGCTGCATTTTCTTAGTAACATTTTCCAGGAAGACCAAAGGCCAGAAGGCTACACCTTGAGAACCAGCTCCAACCGGCTACCCACTCCTGCACAGAACCTGTCCTGGGAACCTCCCTCCTCCAGAAGGAAGCACATTTACCAGCCCACTCTTGGACCCAGAGCCCATTCTGGTGAGGTCCATCCACCAGTACATCCAGCCCAAACTTGACTGGACTCCCAAACTTGAACAGGGGAGAGGAATTCCAAGAATGGGCGGGCTAAGGGGGACCGAGGTGTAAGACCTGGAACCAGTCTCCGCATAAAAGATCCCCAAATCCCCAGCTTGGGAACCCCGCGTCGCTCCTTATCTGCGCAGATAATAAACTTGCCACTTTGTTTCCCTTGCAACTGGTCTCCGTCTTATTTCAATCAGCTAATAGGACAGGACAAGGGGCACTGGGTTACAACATCACACTGTGTTTCCTCAGTCTGGCTGTTTCAATTCCCCAAATAAATCTCTTTGCTTTTATTTTTGAAGGGAGTGTAAGTTTTGTTCAGCGCCAGGACAGAGCTTTCTTGATAATGACATTTGAATAGAGATGGCTCCCAGATCCTTGGCAAAACATCCTTGATTTACATACTTTTCAAAAAGACAGAGGAAAAATTTACAAGTTCTCTAAAGTGAATTCTGAAAAGCTGGGAGAGGGGGACCCTCCCTTATTTGCAACAGGGAGCGTTAAACCCTATTTTCAATTTGTATTTGACCTTACAAGGGCCATGCTCAAAAAACTGATCTAAAATAAATTTCCTTTTGGTGTAAAATGTACAGCTGATGAACGCATCTCACCTCTTGTGGCTGGTTTGAGATGAGTTCCGGCGCCTAGACCGGGGCTGCAGGGTTCAAACTTGGATCTGACGACCGACAAGCACTGGGGAGTCCCTGGGTTTCCAGGTCTAAATCCCCAGATTGCGGGTGGGGGAGGGGGCGTGGGCCGCTCGGCCCGGCCTGGGTCACACACCCACGTGGACACGCACGCTTCATCACACGTGGAGCCCTCACTGTTCAGTGTCTGCGTCACAAACACGGCGCAGGTCCATGGGTGGCCCCGCAGCCCCGTCCAACCCCTGACCCCGGGGACACCAGGCCCTCCTGTCCCCGCCCGAGCTTGTCGCCCCTCCTGCTCTGGACGTGGGGTCGGTCTCATAGAAACCGAGTTTGGAAGTCACTGCGCACAACTGTGTCGCTGCGTCCAGGAAGATACACACGAGGCCGAGCAACTGCGCGGTAACACCTGCGTCCGCCCGCAGCCAGAGCGCATGCGTCCACCGGTGGTTTCCCGGGGGCGGGGCCTGGAGGAAGCCACGCCCATCAGCGCGCTTGCTCCCGCCTCTGTCACTCAGCCGCCCAGAGGTGGGGCTTCCTGCCGCATTGCCCATTCAGGAGCGTCGGGGCGGAATCGAGAGCACTGTGGGCGGGACGACGTTTCCTAAACCCGCCCAGACGTCACTGCTCGGCGCGGCCGGGATTTGAAAGTTTATTACCTGTCCGCGCGTCTCCGGAAGTCTTTGCTCCCGCGGACGGGACGCCGGGAGGTCTCCAGAAGACGGTCATGGTGAGCGCGGGGTCGGGTGTCCGAGACGGGGCGAGGAGAGGGCCATCCCGAACCGGGTAGACGCAGCCGTTCGCGCGTCTCCAGGTGAAGGTCCTCACCCTGACGGGCCCGACGGCAGGACGAGAGGACCAGCCCGCGGGGTCTCGTCACAGACCGGGCGATCAGGGCGCGGGGCTGCGCGGAGGGGACGCCGGAGCCTGTGAGGGAAAGCGGCCCCGGACTCGCTGAGGAGAGACTCTGCTGGGTCCTTATTCAAACACCGGGACTGAGGGTCTTCGTCTCACTGAACTTATCAGTGGTGGTCTGAAGCCGCTGTGTCACCTGGGGTGGGGAGCAGAGGCCTGAGGCCAGTGACTCCCAGCTGAGTCTAACCTTGAGCCTGCAGAAGGGGTAAAGCAAGGGCCAGTCGGATCTTCTGGGGACCCTCCACTCAGAACAGCCCAGAAGGAGCTGTTTGTGCTGGGGGAATCTTTGGAGGGGGAGATCCAGGTGAGGGTGTGCTTGGGTCGTTTCCAAGGTTAGACTTGGAGAAGGACTTCTTTGGGTCCGACTCCTGGGGAGAGGGCTTATACATCTGAGCATTTATTTGGGTTGGAACCTTAAACTGACTCAGGTTGAGAGTTCCATGCTGGTGAGAAGTAGGCCCCTCAGGAGGGAGCAGTTCCACACCGAGCAGGAGAGGTTTTTTGTTTTTAAATGTATACTGAACCAACCTTTTATTCCTGGGATAAATCCCATTTGTGATGGTGTATAATCCTTTGTTTATGTTGCTGGATTTGGTTTCCTAGTATTTGGTTGAAGAATGTTGCATCTGTATTTATAAGGGATATACCTCTGTCATTTTGTTTATGATGTTTTTCTGTGATTTTTGTATCAGAGTAGTAATACAAGCCGCATAAACTGAGTTGGGAAGTGTTCTCTCCACAGTTGATTTTCATATATTGATACCTAATGAGTAAAGATGGTAAGCATCTTTTTGACCTTTTGTATATCTTCCTTTGAGAAATGTCTTCAAATCCTTTGCCCGTTGATTTAATTGCATCATTTGTCTATATATTGTTGCCCTTTATTTTTTACTGTTGAGTCATATAAGAGTTTTTTATATACAAGTCCCCGACTTAAGACAGGGTTTTGTTACGAAGACTCCATTATCTGTTCTGACATATAAATCTGATCTTTATTTGTTTTGGGGAGTTGGGAACATTACATATAAATTTACAGGTATATTTTAATACATACATAAAAACTACACAAATCATAAAAATTTACTCTGACGAAGAAGAGTTGGATTACTTTGGCATTTTGTCAGTTGCAATAATAACTCCACTTGTGGAAGGTTCTGGATCATCTGGATTATCCCTGGGAATGGGGATGGTGTTTCTGGTCAGAAGATTAGAGTTGTCTATATGGTTCTTTTCTTTTTTCTTCATCTGTCTCACTGCTTCCCAAATCTGACGCTAGAAAAGTGGTCAGCATTCGGGTCCATGTTTTCTAGCAACTGAAGCTTCTGATTTAGTTTAGAAAGAACGTCATCTAATCTTTTCACTGTAAAAATTTCTGACAACGTCTCTCCTTCCTCTTCCTCATTATTTCTTTCTTCTTCAGCATTTCTTTCCTCTTCAAAATCCATTAAGTCCTGGCCTGTTAATTTTCCTTCTTTGTGATCTATAAGCTGTTCCACATCAGCACTGTGAAGTTCTAAATTCAGCGTTCTTGCCATATGGGCAATTTTTCCACTGATGTCTTCCATCATATTATCCTGATCAAATGCTTGGAGTGTGTTCACGTAAATCAGCAATTTTCTCCATATCCCCTGCGTGCATTTTCCAGTAACTTCCTGCCAGGGACATGCAATGTTCTGGATATACTGAAGAATATTATAATTCTTCCAGAAATTGTGTAATGTTACTGTACCTCCATCTGTTGCAACTATTGCCTGAGCAAATGTAGTCCGTAGGTAGTAGGCCTTGAAGGTAGCAAATGCCCCTGATACATAAGCTGAATCACAGCTGTCGTTTTGGGAGGTAGACACACCAGTTTCACATCTTGAGTTAGATCCAGGGCTTTGAACCTGTTCTAAATGGTTCATTCATGGCGGACGGGAACGAGGGCAGCATTTGCAACCAAATCTTTCCCCCTTGGGATTTTGACCAGAGTAGGAAGCTGGCAGCAGTGTCCCACTCAAAGATGATGGCTGACCTTGCCACTTTGAATGTGTGTAGCTCTCAATAATCCTGCATTAACTATACCCTTTGTGGAGACAGATGGCCGTAAGTGCAGTTTGTTGTAACTCAAAACGTAGGTCAGTGACTATTTATACTTAGAATACAAGTCCCTTATCAGATTTTTGATTTGCAAATTTCTTTTTCCATTCTGAGTGTTGCCTTCACTTCTATAAATGGTATCCTTTGAAGCACAATAGTTTTACATTTTGATGAAGCTCAGTTTATCTATTTTTTCTTTTATCGCTTGTACTTTTGGTGTCATATCAAGGAAACCATTGCTTAACCCAAGATAGCAAGATATACTTCTATGTTTTTTTCTGAGTTGTATAATTTTAGTTCTTATGTTGAGTCTGTGATCCAGTTAACTTTTGTATATTGTGTAAGTATAGGTCTAATGTTCTTTTCTTTTACACATGGATATCCAGTTGTCACATTTGATTTTCATATACTGACCTTGTATCCCGCAACCTTGATAAACTCGTTTCCTATAATTTTAGTGGATTCCTAGGATTTTCTACATATAAGATCGTCTGGGAATAGATATAGTTTTACTTCATCCTTCCCAATCAAGGTGCTTTTTATTTATTTATTGACTAGTTACCCCTGCTAGAACTTCAGTACAGTGTTGAATATAAACAATGAACTTGAGCTAGAACATCCATGTCTGGTTCCTGATCTTAGAGGAAAGCATTCAGTATCGTGTTTGCTATAGGTTTTTTGAAGATGCCTTTTATCAGGTTGAGGATATTCTGTTCTATGCCTAGTGTTTTGAGTGTTAAGAAAAGCGTTGGATTTTATTAAATGATTTTTTGCTTCTGCTGAAATGACCATACTGATTTTGTTTTTCATTCTGTTAATCTGGTGTATTACATTGTCTTAGTCATCTAGTGCTGCTGTAACAGTAATACCACAAGTGGATGGCTTTAACAAAGAGAAATTTGTTCTCTCTGTGTCCAGTAGGCTAGAAATCTGAATTCAGGGCGCTGGCTCCAGGGGAAGGCTTTCTCTCTCTGTCGGCTCTGTCAGCAGGTCCTTGTGATGCATCAGTCTTCCCTTGGTCTGGGAGCATTTCAGGCATTTCATCACAGGAACCTCAGGTCCAAAGGACATGCTCTGTTCCTGGCGCTACTTTCTTGGTGGTATGAAGTCCCCACGCTCTGCTTGCTTCCCTTTCCTTTTATCTCTTGTAAGATAAAAGATGGTGCAGGCCACACTCCAGGGAAACTCCTTCTACATTGGATGAGGGATGTGACCTTAGTAAGGGTGTTACAATCCCACCCTAATCCTCTTTAACATAAAATTGCAATCACAAAATGGAGGACAACCACACAGTACTGGGAATCATGGCCTAACCAAGTTGACACATATTTTTGGGGGCACGATTCAATCCGTGACATATACTAATTGATTTTCAGATGTTAAACCAACCTTGTATTGCTGGGATAAACCCCACTTGTTCATGGTGTATAACGCTTTTCACATATTGAATTTGGTGTGCTAGCACTTGGGGAGAATTTTTGTACCTGTATTCATAAGGGATAGTGGTCTTTAGTTTTGTTATCTTGTATTTTGTTTGTTTGCTTTTGGCATTAGGGTATTGATTGCATAGAAGGAGTTGAGAAGTACTCCTTACTCTTCTATTTTCTGAAAGATTTTGTGAATGATTTGTGTTAATTCTTTAAGTAGTTGGTAAAATTCACCAGTGAAGCCGTCTGGGCCTGGGTTTTCCTTATGGGAAACTTCCTAATTACTAATTCAATCTTTTTATTTGTTTTACATCTGTTAGGTAGTCCATTTCTTGTTTAGTCAGTTCGGTAATCTGTGCCTTTCTAAGAATTTGTCCATTTCATCTCATCAGCATACATTTATTCATAGCATTTCCTTCTGATCTGATTATTTTTGTAAGGTTGGTCTTTTGTTCTGCTTTTTGACAATCAGCTTACAGTTTTGTTGATTTTTCTCTTATTTTCCTATTCTCAATTTCATTTATTTCCACTCTGTTGTTGTTAGGTGCCATCAAGTCAGGTCCAACCCATAGCGACCCCATGAAGAACAGAACGAAACACTGCTCGGTCCTGCACCATCCTCACAATCATCGTTATGCTTGAGCCCATTTTTACAGCCACTGTTTCAGTCCATCTCATTGAGGGTTTTTCTCTTCTTCACTGACCGTCTACTTTTACCAAGCATAGCATCATTCATTTCCACTCTAATCGTGATTATTTCCTTTCTTCAGCTTGCTTTGGTTTTAGCTTGATCGTTTTCTAGTACTTCAAGGTGTCAAGTTAGGCTACTGATTTGAGATTTTTCACTTGTAATATAGGCACTTATTGTTATAAATGTGTCCTTAAGAACTGCTTTAGATCTGTCCCCAAAGTTTTGTGCTTTTGTTTTCATTCCTCCCAAAGTATTTTCTAATTTACCCTGTGATTTCTAGTTTGACCTGTTAGTTATGTAGGAGTACGTTGTTTAATTTTCACATAACTTTGTGTTTCTTTTTGTTGCAAGTAAATTCACAAATATGGAATGTGGGGATAATGAAGATTAACTGTATTTCTTTAATGCCAGGGTCTACTGGTTCCACCCAGAGGCCCAAGGCCATATGCATATGAATGGGAGGATAGTCAAGGGATGGAGAATGGAAGATGAAACCGGAAAGTTTTAGAAAGGGTTATGTGTTTAAGATTATGTGTTTAATTGAATATAGTGTGGATATTGAATGTTTCTACTACCTAGCCCCCACAGTATGACAAGCTGACAGGTGCGTGGGGAAAA